AATGTTGCATGGGCTATGTTTTGGGGAGGAAGCCGGAGCACGAAACCTTGCGTTTTTCCGTGTAAAGTGGCTGCAGCCGACGATGAAAGGTACCTCGTGTGTGCGACGGGTGCGGCTGCGGTCGTTCCGGACGCGATTGGTTCCTTCTATGTGGTTTGCAACAAGTGCTTGTTCCTGTGTGCGTAGTTCTATGCGTTTCCTGAAGCTGTGGTTGCTGATCGCATTGGAATGGCTGCATGAATGTTGCATGGGCTATGCTTTGGGGAGGAAGCCGGAGCACGAAACCGTGTTTGTTTCCGTGTAAAGTGGCTGCAGCCGGCGATGAAAGGTACCTCGTCTGTGCGGCGGTTGCGGCTGCGGTCGTTTCTGTCGCGAATTGTTCCTCCTATGTGTTTTGCAACGAGTGGTTGTTCCTGTGTGCGTAGTTCTATGCGTTTCTTGAAGCTGTGGCGGCAGATCGCATTGGAATGGCTGCATTATGTTGCATGGGCTTTGTGTTGGGGAGGAAGCCGGAGCACGAAACCTTGTGTTTTTTCCGTGTAAAGTGGCTGCAGCCGGCGATGAAAGGTACCTCGTCTGTGCGGCGGTTGCGGCTGCGGTCGTTTCTGTCGCGAATGTTTCCTTCTATGTGTTTTGCAAAGAGTGGTTGTTCCTGTGTGCGTAGTTCTATGCGTTTCTTGAAGTTGTGGTGGCAGATCGCATTGGAATGGCTGCATGAATTTTGCGTTGGCTATGTTTTGGGAGGAAGGAAACCGTGGTTTTTTTCCCGTGTAAAGTGGTTCAGGCTACGGATGAGAGGTACCCTCGTCGTGGCGGCGGTTGCGGTGTTCCTTCCTGTGGTGTAGTTCTTTGCGTTTCCTGAAGCTGTGGTTGCAGATCGCATTGTAATGGCTGCATGAATGTTGCATGGTTATGTTTTGGGGAGGAAGCCGGAGCACGAAACCTTGTGTTTTTCCGTGTAAAGTGGCTGCAGGCGACGATGAAAGGTACCTCGTCTGTGCGGCGGTTGCGGCTGCGGTCGTTCCGGACGCGATTGGTTCCTTCTATGTGTTTTGCAACAAGTGGTTGTTCCTGTGGTGTAGTTCTATGTTTTGGGGAGGAAGCCGGAGCACGACACCTTGTGTGCTCAACGTTAGTCGATGCCTCGGCTGCATGCGTAATACTATTGTCTTTTGCAGCTGAACATCGTAAATCGTATTGGAGTGGCTGCATCCAGGCTGCGATAGTGATTTGCGAGTAGATTTTCGCAATTTTCACGGTAGAAATTTTCCTTTAAAAAATCCTTTTAAAAAGTGCTTCAAAATCGTTTTTTCTGCTTTGGCGTCGACATCCGGTTTTGGAGCTGCAATTTCCGATACTGTTGCGCGTAGTTCTATTGTGTTTTGCAACTCAGTCTCTGCAGATCGCATTGTAGTGGCTGCGTCAAGGTTGCTCGGTGCCGCGGCTGCATGCGTAATACTATTGTCTTTTGCAGCTGAACATGGTAAATCGTATTGGAGTGGCTGCATCCAGGCTGCGATAGTGATTTGCGAGTAGATTTTCGCAATTTTCACGGTAGAAATTTTCCTTTAATTTTTTTTTTCAAGTGCTTCAAAATCGTCTTTTTTCTGCTTTGGCATAGAGATCCGGTTTTGGAGCTGCAATTTCCGACACCGTTGCGTGTAGTTCTATTGTGTTTTGCAACTCAGTCTCTGCAGATCGCATTGTAGTGGCTGCGTCAAGGTTGCTCGGTGCGGCGGCTGCATGCGTAATACTATTGTCTTTTGCAGCTGAGCATCGTAAATCGTATTGGAGTGGCTGCATCCAGGCTGCGATAGTGATTTGTCAGCAGATTTTCGCAATTTTGGCGCTAGTAATTTTCCTTTTAAAAATCCTTTTAAAAAGCGCATCAAAATCGTCTTTTTTCTGCTTTGGCGTCGAGATCCGGTTTTGGAGCTGCAATTTCCGACACCGTTGCGCGTAGTTCTATTGTGTTTTGCAACTCAGTCTCTGCAGATCGCATTGTAGTGGCTGCGTCAAGGTTGCTCGGTGCCGCGGCTGCATGCGTAATACTTTTGTTTTTTGCAGCTGAACATCGTAAATCGTATTGGAGTGGCTGCATCCAGGCTGCGATAGTGATTTGTCAGCAGATTTTCGCAATTTTGGCGCTAGCAATTTTCTTTACCAGTGGCATGGCTGGATTTTGTAAATAGTATTGGAGTGGCTGCATCAAGGCTGCGACAGTGATTTGTCAGCAGATTTTCAACTGGGACGTGCTTTGTGCAAGCTTTGTAGTACAAAGTAGTACTGGGACGTGCTTTGTGCAAGCTTTGTAGTACAAAGTAGTACTGGAACGTGCTTTGTGCAAGCTTTGTAGTGCAAAGTACTACTGGGAAGTGCTTTGTGTAAGCTTTGTGGTCCAAGGTAATACTCGGACATACTTTCTATAAATGTTGTATTCCTGGGAAAAGTCTTACAAATAACTGTATGGCAAAGACTTCATCAATGTTTTTCGCAGTATTGGTTTTCATCATTATCATCATCATCATCATCAGCATCATCATCATCATCATGAAAGGTTGAACTGTTGTGGAGAACAAGAGTGAGCCCCTTTGAACATAGATCATACGACCACAGCGTTCGTCTTGTTCTTGTTCCCATTGAACACAGATGATGCCACCTGTCAATGTTTATATCAAACGGCACTGCAACTGTGTATCACCATCAATAAACAATTTCCTGTGGAAGATCGAACAAAAGTGAAGAAATCAAATGGAGGTTTCACAGAAACAATATCTTTAAATGATCGAACGCCTAGGATGTGCTGTTGAAACTTGCTATACTGGAACATGATTTGGTTTGACGAGTGACTTTGTCGATGCAAAGACTTGGGCTCAGGGTATGGCATGTGAAAATGTAGATTTTGAGTTCATTTTGTTCATGAGGAAACCTGTCAACCGATACAGGCGTGACACAGGAGACAATATTCCAAGAAGACATGATTTGTTGCATGCACAAAGGTATGTGATGGGTTTAATGTAAGACAAGTGGTATGCTTTCGTACTTTTGAAATCGGCGGGACGTTGGTGGGGCTTTTGCAGTGGGCATGGCGGTGCGGCCTGCCTACTGCAAGGTTCTGGAGCCATGGCGGAACCGCAAGCTTTTGCGAACTTCTTGGCATACATCGAAAAGGAAGCAGACACTTTGAAGGTCTTGCAATGCGACACTCTGAAAGATTGTTTAATGACTGGAAAAGCAACTGGCCAACGTGAAGGAGATTCTGCACGGTTCAAGCATTACAAGATTTATCTGACGCTGCAGAAAGAGATGTCTGCGGAGCAACGGCAGGTGATAGAAGAATGGGAACGAAGAAATTGCGTGCTAGAAGCCGCGCGATTTTCGCTCGCGTTTCGCAAATTTTGCAGCGTTGTAGAACAGCATTTAGAGGAGATGAAAGATTTGCGAAGAGCGACATTGAAGGAGGTTTGCTTGAGTTATGTCGCTAAGCAAGATGGAAGACCGATTGGATAACTATCGGCGATTTGGAAACTACGATTTGGAAACTACGATTTGGGAACTACGATTGGGAAACTAACAATCTCTGCTTCAGTAACTGCGTTTCCCCGATTTGGAAACTATGATTTCGAAACTATAAATCCCCGATTTGGAAACCAAATCTCCGCGATTTGATAACTAAGAATCTCCGATTTGATAACTATGTTTTGGGAACTGAGATTCCCCGATTTGGTAACTACCATTCTCCGATTTGGTAACTACAATTCTCAGATGCTTGGTAACTAAAACTCTCCGACTTGGTGACTAATTGAGGAAACCAGACCTGACCGATTCGGCAAGCATGATTTACACCTTGGCAAATTCGATTTAAGAATTAGGAATCGACTCGAGCAACTATCCTTATTTGAATATCACGACTTCTTGAGCAAGAGTATGCCTCAACCTCACAGCTTCACCTCTCCAAGACTTCTTGTCACGATTCCAAATCATTTTCTAAACCTCCCCCCCCCAAAACCATACATGCAAGAGTATGCCTCAACTTCACAGACTCCCCCCTTCAAGAGTTCTTGTCACGATTCCAAGTCATTTTTTAAACTTCCCCCCCCAAAACTTACATGCAAGAGTATGCCTCAACTTCACAGCAAGAGTATTCCAAGTCAAACCTTCATGCAAGCCAACTTCTCCCCTCTCAAGACTTCTTGTTAGATTCTAAGTCATTTTCTAAACCTCCCCCCCCAAAACCATACATGCAAGAGTATGCCTCAACTTCACAGACTCACCTTCCAAGAGTTCTTTTCACGATTCCAAGTCATTTTTAAACCTCCCCCCCAAAACCCTACATGCAAGAGTATTCCTCAACTTCACAGCCTCCCCTCTCCAAGACTTCTTGTTAGATTCTAAGTCATTTTCTAAACCTCCCCCCCCAAAACCCTACATGCAAGAGTATTCCTCAACTTCACAGCCTCCCCTCTCCAAGACTTCTTGTTAGATTCTAAGTCATTTTCTAAACCTCCCCCCCAAAAACCCTACATGCAAGAGTATTCCTCAACTTCACAGACTCCCCTATCCAAGACTTCTTGCCACGATTCTAAGTCATTTTCTAAACCTCCCCCCCAAAACCCTACATGCAAGAGTATTCCTCAACTTCACAGCCTCCCCTCTCCAAGACTTCTTGTTAGATTCTAAGTCATTTTCTAAACCTTCCCCCCAAAAAAACCCTACATGCAAGAGTATTCCTCAACTTCACAGCCTCCCCTATCCAAGACTTCTTGTCACGATTCCAAGTCATTTTTTAAACCTCCCCCCCCCAAAACCTTACATGCAAGAGTATGTCTCAACTTCACAGCTTCACCGCTCCAAGCCTTCTTGTCACGAGTCCAAGTCATTTTCTAAACCTCCCCCCCCAAAACCCTACATGCAACAGTATTCCTCAACTTCACAGACTCCCCTATCCAAGACTTCTTGTCACGATTCCAAATCATTTTTTAAACCTCCCCCCCTCAAACCCTACATGCAACAGTATGCCTCAACTTCACAGCCTCCCCTCTCCAAGACTTCTTGTCACGATTCCAAGTCATTTTTTAAACCTCCCCCCCCAAAACCTTACATGCAAGAGTATGCCTCAACTTCACAGCTTCACCGCTCCAAGCCTTCTTGTCACGAGTCCAAGTCATTTTTTAAACCTCCCCCCCCAAAACCATACATGCAAGAGTATGCCTCAACTTCACAGCCTCCCCCCTCCAAGAGTTCTTGTCACGATTCCAAGTCATTTTTTAAACCTGCTTGGGGAGGCGTTTGTCGAGCTTATGTGACCAGGCATCCATATGAGAATTTAACTGACAAAGAAAAGGAAAAGTGGAAGGAGCTGGAGGAACGCATATGTGTGGATGATAGTCCCGTGCAGCAACAGTTTGATCGTTTCATGAAAATGCTTGAAGATAACAGAGATGAGTTGAAAGCTATGCAAAAGTCGACATTACTTGAACTCATGTGTGTGGCTGAGCGCACAGGTAACAAAGAATACATATTTGGCCGAAATTTTTGGCGACGGAGGTATGAAAACCTTGATGAAGATATGAAGGCCAAGTTGCAGAAATGGGAAGCATTGTTGTGTGTTCCATCGGTTGGTTCGGTAGACAAGTTCCTGCAGATCCTGGATCGAAGAAAAGTAGAATTGCAATCCTTTGGCGCAGCAAGTGTTGAATCCTTGTTTGCAGTGCACGCCATGAAAGGAGATGCCGAACGTCGTTGTTGTTATGACTTCATGCAACGCACGTTTCCAAGTCTGACAGAGGAGACGAAAGAGATGGTGAGAAATGCCCTAGGACAGCTCTTGCCAGCATCAGCCACTGTGCCGCTGAAGAAATTGCATGAAGCTAAGTTGCATAGCCGGGAGACAGTCTTGGGAGATAACTTGCCACGGCCGAGGTTGCCGAAGAGTTTGCGACAACTGTACGGAAATTCCGCAGATGCCGAAAGCCGCACCATGGCTTTTTTCCATCGTGTCAATGAAGTCGATGCTTTTTTGAACGAGCTTGAAGTGTGGAGTGTGAAGTGTGAAGTGTGGAGTGTGAAGTGTGAAGTGTGGACTGTGAAGTGTGAAGTATTGACTGCGAAGGGTGCAGTGTGAAGTGTGTAGTCTGGAGTGTGAAGACTGTCAAGTGTGAAGTGTGAAGTGGAGCTTCAAATGTGACATGTGAAACAAGACACCAGTTTCGCACAAAGCACGCACGCACGGGCTTGGCTGGCGCACGGCGCATGCAAGTTCTATAGATGAGAAAGGTCTTATATATATTTTTAAGGCAACTTCCACCCCGCCTCGTGCGGGTACTACTGGTACGTACAACACATACATGTGTCTTAGTAGCGTGCAGCTTATTCTGACCTGGCTGGTCTGTAGTGCAAGTAATCTGTACACGTGTTTGTGCTTTCTCTGTCGTTCAGAGCCTTCTAGGCGAGTTTGCCATTGTTGATGCAGATGACAACGGAGAAGATGTGCAGGTCAAGCATGTGATCAAACCGCAAGCTGGAGATGTTGTGCTTTTCTACCAAGAAAGGCTGAATCCACCTTCAGACTATCCTCCCTATGAGCTGCAGCATCAGGGGAATGATGTCACCGCAGGCCAGAAGTTTGCATGCCGCACCATGGTCGATTACATTTTTCCGAACGAAGAGGTAGCTCACTTCAGCAATGTGAAGGATGACTACATGGCCAAAAATGCTGACAAGATGTCGGTACTAGCCATTGGCAACACCATCATGGATACCATGCTCACTGTGAGCCATATCCCTGTGGATGAGAAGATCCATGTTGAGACCAAGAAGACTTATGTGGGTGGGCAAGGTGCAAACGCTGCCCAAGCTCTAGCCCTTCTTGGTGCCAAGGTTTCCTTCATGACACGCATAGGAGATGATGCGGAAGGCACCACCGCCGTGACGGCCTACAAAAAGTTGGGCATGGATCTGGCGCATGTCATTTGTGTTCCAGGAGCCCACACAAGCGTTGCAGCCGTGCTGGTTGCCACAGACAAGGAAAAACATCGAAGTTGTTTGATTTACGATGACCCGCGGTTGCTGGAACCATGTTCTGCAGAGGCTCTGAACACCGCAATTCAGCGGCTCTCTTCGGGAGATTTCCATGCGGTCTACACAGATGGCTGGCAGATTGATTTGGCTTTGCCCATCGCCAGGGCCGCCCAGAAATTGTCGATTCCCATCCTGGCAGATGTCGAAGTGGTGAACGCCGAGACCCGCGAGCTGGCTGACTTGGCCACTGTGGTCATTGCCAGCGTTCCCATCATCAAGGCTCTGGCAGGAAAGGATGACCTTAGAGCTGCCGTGTTGGCCCTGGCGAACCGACCAGGTCGTGTGATCGTTGCCACGGAAGGTGAGAAAGGTTCACATGGTGTGGCATACTTCGAAGAGATCGTTCATGTGCCGGCCATGGATGTAGATGTTCATGACACCACTGGCGCGGGCGACTCATTTCATGCGGGCTATCTCATGGCCTTCCTTAAAAGACAAGGGGTCGCAGATTGTATGTCTTTCGCCACAAAAGTTGCAGCGGCAAAATGCGAAACTCCCGGATCCTCTGTAACACACGAGGCTTTGGAACGTTTCGGTTTGTTGGACAGGCAGCAACGTGCACAGGTCACGGTCAGTTGATTGGGTCTGGCAGGCGATGCTAACCCACAGCCCAACGAGCATCAACGAGCTGCCAATGTGCAACCACTCCGTTTGAAAACAGCAGACTTGGAAGCAACTCCGTGTCTGATCAGCTGATGGAGCTGAAAGGCCTTGCAGTTTAAAACTCGCAAAAAAAATGAGCGCGCCCGCTTCGCACCTGGGAATATCCAAGAACTCCCTGGAAAGAGAGGCACAGCCGAACCTAGAGTACCCGGCAACAAGTCAAACATGCGTGACAAAGAATCACTCCCCTTATACATCGAGAAAATCAACATGTTTTATTTTGTACTTGCGTGGAGCTTGCGGAATGCAAGCTGAACCGCTACTCCACTAGCCATTTTTTGCTCCACGGCACCAGTTCTGCACGCGTTGCATGTCCGTTCTCCGCATGTCCCGACGGATGGTGAAGCTGTCCGCTCTGCCCGCAGCTCGGCTTCTATGGTTTCTTGCACCTGCCTGCGCTATGCGGCAGACCCTGCATATGGCGAGCACGGCTGTCCAGCGCGCGGGCGAACATCAGAATTCCGTGCACAACATCGGAGCCGGTGCCGGAGCGCAAGAAATGGACCTGGCTGCCTGGTCCCGGCTAAAGAACTCCGAACTTGGAGAGGCCATCTCACCACGACTCACGAAGATAGGGGCTTGGAGGCCGGATCCACAACCCAAATTTCAGGTGAACGAAATGTCGGGATTAACACCTGGAGTACCAGCAGCAGTTGTACAGGGTGTACTGTCTGAACAGGAATGCAAGGAGCTGATTGCTGGTTTTCCTTCAGGTGGTCAGGGCTTTATGCCCGGGCAACGCGTAGCAGAACTTTACAGAGATCGAAAGGTGAAATCGCGAAGTCTCGTGAATGACGAGTTGCTTGCTAGGATTCTGCAAGAGAGGTTGAGAGAGGTTTTGCCACAGCAACTGGATGGCGGCAGATTGTTTTCGGTCAATCCTAATTTTCGCTTCGTGCATTATGATACTGGAGGCCGGCATTCCACTCACATTGATGGCCGAGAGCCAGTCATGCCAAGGTGGGATGAGGCTGCTGAGGGTTGGGTACAGTCGCGATTGACAATGCAGATCTATTTGAACAGCCATGGCAAGGACTTTGAAGGAGGCACAGCAAGGGTAGACAATGTACATATCACGTCTCTGTATATCTATAGTATTTGTGTACGCATGTCTTTAGATACGGCCGCACCCTATGCCCCATCGTCTTTTGGGGACGGTTCAAGGAAGCCTCAGGTATTCTGTAGTTTTCTGATAGTTTGGTATCAAACAACGATAGGTTGGGTGACCTGGGGACATCCTCCCTGTAAAAAGGCAGTCAGCTGTTCATGTGCTGGCTATTCCCGTGCCTCTTTCTTCCTCCTTTGAAGTCTCTAATGAACGCAACATTTATCAGGGGTGGTGTTTTTGCTCACCTATGTGAAAGGAAATAGCGCCAAGTTCTCCCCTTTTGTAAAGTTTAGGGCGGGTGGGGGCCTTATTCCCCTGAAAGTGCAGGTGAGTATTTGTGGGGCGTAGCTGCATGTGCTGAGGGTTCATCTGTGTATATCTTTGTATAGCTCTATCTCTATCTCTATGGAACATATATGAACATATTCATAGTAAATACATGTGTCTTAGTAGCGTGCAGCTTATTCTGACCTGGCTGGTCTGTAGTGCAAGTAATCTGTACACGTGTTTGTGCTTTCTCTGTCGTTCAGAGCCTTCTAGGCGAGTTTGCCATTGTTGATGCAGATGACAACGGAGAAGATGTGCAGGTCAAGCATGTGATCAAACCGCAAGCTGGAGATGTTGTGCTTTTCTACCAAGAAAGGCTGAATCCACCTTCAGACTATCCTCCCTATGAGCTGCAGCATCAGGGGAATGATGTCACCGCAGGCCAGAAGTTTGCATGCCGCACCATGGTCGATTACATTTTTCCGAACGAAGAGGTAGCTCACTTCAGCAATGTGAAGGATGACTACATGGCCAAAAATGCTGACAAGATGTCGGTACTAGCCATTGGCAACACCATCATGGATACCGTGCTCACTGTGAGCCATATCCCTGTGGATGAGAAGATCCATGTTGAGACCAAGAAGACTTATGTGGGTGGGCAAGGTGCAAACGCTGCCCAAGCTCTAGCCCTTCTTGGTGCCAAGGTTTCCTTCATGACACGCATAGGAGATGATGCGGAAGGCACCACCGCCGTGACGGCCTACAAAAAGTTGGGCATGGATCTGGCGCATGTCATTTGTGTTCCAGGAGCCCACACAAGCGTTGCAGCCGTGCTGGTTGCCACAGACAAGGAAAAACATCGAAGTTGTTTGATTTATGATGACCCGCGGTTGCTGGAACCATGTTCTGCAGAGGCTCTGAACACCGCAATTCAGCGGCTCTCTTCGGGAGATTTCCATGCGGTCTACACAGATGGCTGGCAGATTGATTTGGCTTTGCCCATCGCCAGGGCCGCCCAGAAATTGTCGATTCCCATCCTGGCAGATGTCGAAGTGGTGAACGCCGAGACCCGCGAGCTGGCTGACTTGGCAACTGTGGTCATTGCCACCGTTCCCATCATCAAGGCTTTGGCAGGAAAGGATGATCTTAGAGCTGCCGTGTTGGCCCTAGCGAACCGACCAGGTCGTGTGATCGTTGCCACGGAAGGTGAGAAAGGTTCACATGGTGTGGCATACTTCGAAGAGATCGTTCATGTGCCGGCCATGGATGTAGATGTTCATGACACCACTGGTGCGGGCGACTCATATCATGCGGGCTATCTCATGGCCTTCCTTAAAGGACAAGGGGTTGCAGATTGTATGTCTCTCGCCACAAAAGTTGCAGCGGCAAAATGCGAAACTCCCGGACCCTCTGTAACACACGAGGCTTTGGAACGTTTTGGTTTGTTGGACAGGCAGCAACGTGCACAGGTCACGGTCAGTTGATTGGCCCAACGAGCATCAACGAGCTGCCAATGTGCAAACACTCCGTTTGAAAACAGCAGACTTGGAAACAACTCCGTGTCTGATCAGCTGATGGAGCTGAAAGGCCTTACAGTTTAGACCTTGCAAAAAAAAATGAGCGCGCCCGCTTCGCACCTGGGAATATCCAAGAACTCCCTGGAAAGAGAGGCACAGCCGAACCTAGAGTACCCGGCAACAAGTCAAACATGCGTGACAAAGAATCACTCCCCTTATACATCGAGAAAATCAACATGTTTTATTATTATTTATTTTTAATTATTATTGTGCAAGTGTTTAAACATGCATGGGCTAGTGACATTGGTCATCAGTGAGTTGTGCCACAGTGAAGGCCTAGTGTGAGGCTTACTGCAATCTTTTCGCGCTGTGGTTACGTGTGACAATGACCTAAGTGGCAAGTAGACTCGACAGCAGATCTTAAGCTTTTGGAATTGACCATCTTAACGCGCAATTTCCAGCTGGCACGGAGGGCAGAAAACCGCAAGATTAAGAACATTAAACAGAAGCACCTACTCGGTCCTACTACGGGAAACGACGGGAATGTGATACACACCGCAGCGTAGATGACGTAGATGACGTAGATGAACTTAGACCATCTCAGACCGCAAGAACTGATTGGACTGCGCATTGTTGGAGTCACCGCCATCTGCGAAACGTCCAAGTGCTGATCTCAGGTGACAGTCGGTGAGCCTTCACAGTGCCTTTCGTGGTGACACTGCGCAAAGCGGATTTTCATCAGCAAATTCTTGTGTTTGGCCAATGTACTACAGGTAAACACCTTAAACAATTGCTACTTGAACCTCCCAAACCTTTGTTTCCCTTCCATTTTTTAGATGTTCACCATGGTATACCAGAGTTCTGACTCATCCCTAACTGTTCGCGCAACAGATGCTGTTGGACCCTCTGCCCCGCATCTTGAAGCGCTTCAAGCCACCCTCGGTGAGCGAAAAAATGGCGGACGCCTCCATGATGGAAGCCTTAGCAACCAGCAACGATTGGAGGGTCCGTTACGCACCTTGGCTGCATGCTGTGCAGCAATTGATTTTGGTTGCTTTTCATTATATTGATTGCTGATTTTGACAAGCCACGGATGCTTCACTGTTTCACCTTCCCTACGCAGTGTCACTGCAGTGGTCTTTTTTGATTTCTGGCAGTGCCATGTACTGGCGATTGAAAGATCAATCTGAGGAGAACTTCCTGAAGTTTCGTCAGTTGGGGCCAAAGGTCATCGCTCAGCAAGCTGAAGCTTTGGAAGGCGCGACCGAAGTTTCCCTTCTCAGCCTGGCAGTCTTTGAAATCGTTGACGCAAGCAGGAGATGTGAATCTTGAAACCGCAGCAGGTCAACATGGCTTAAAAGCACGCGAGAAGTGGCATATTTGACAACCAAATCATGGCCATGGCTGGAAGATCCTCCGTTTATACAGGATTTAAACATGATGCTCGTGGAAAATTTGTGTTTTCATGGCAAAATCCTTCATTTGTAAATGGTACTGTATGTTTAATACTCCAGGTGGTGCTAAACCTGTGGCCAAACAATAACAAGCAAACACAGGCAATTGACACTCGCAGACAGTCATTTCACTCTCTAGCGCAGCAATGACCTCCATGCATTCTGGTCTGGTTACTACAGATGAAGTACAAGCTGCTCAGCAGAAGGATGGAAGATAGGTTGAAATATGTGGATGGATCATACCACCTCCGAGACCACGTTTCTTGGTGGGATGAACATGCTCATCAACGAACTATTTTGGTGTGAAAATGGAGGTACATATCATTGGAATGGGATGTCTTGGTCAAATCGCCAACCTTTTTTAGGGCATATTCAACCAAACACTGTTTCGGTACCAGAGTGAATTGATGGTAGACATCAGGAGAATCTTGTCAAACTGCCAAGGTGGTGCAGAGTGGTTTTCAGTCGCCTGAGGCTGTCGCGTTCATCTTGCAAGTCGTGTTGTTGGGTTGTTGGCAAAACTTTCACCACTGTTTGGACAAGGTATATGCATGTATATAGTACATTTAACGTGTTTTAAAAGTTTTATATAATGTTATCTTTGAGTTATCTCTTTCCCTTCAGTTCTTGTCTTGTCAAACGTCAATGAGAATGACGAAGATTCTGAAGAAATTGCAGAATCTCGATCGGGGGCGCCACCGCAGGGCAAAGAGATCCTGAAAAGTCTTCAGTCCCTGGCACAGTTGTTGGACAAGGTGGGCTTGAAGGAGACGGGCTTGGAGTCTGGTACCTCTGCCAGATTGTGGAGTTGAGTGGAGATGTATGTGTCAAATGCAGGCACCCCAAATCACTTAAATCTACCACTTGTTTTATTTTTTGACGGTATTTTTCAGGCCTTGGAGTTGGGTACGAGTATATCCAGTATATCATCCACCTTTCTTGACAACCCCAGATGCACAAAATGTGGATGATTTGGTGGAACATTGCCCAGCCCAAAGTGCTTGGCAGCTCTTTTGAGCAGGAGGATGGCTTGAAGGTGACAGAATTCCATCAGCAGCTGTCCGTGAAAGCAGTCACTGATCGGGAGGCTTGGTGACGTGGATGAATGGTCAGGAACATGCAGCCATAGTGATATGTATGTATAATAATTGCGAATTGAGGAGTCTTAACCAAAAGACTTTGGTTCAAAAATTGGCGCTGCCCACTCCTCAATTTTCCATCAGTTCGCAGGCGGTAATTGCCTCCATCTCCAAACATGATGGAGCCGAAGCATTTCTGACATCAAAGTTGGCCTATTTGAAGGAGTTGGCCACGTCTAAGCCTCCGCCTTTGTTACCTTCATCTGGAGACTCTGCTGAGCTGCCGGCTGTTTTGGATCTGGGGAAGGCGACCACTCCTTTCCATAAGATTAGCATGAAAAGCTTTGCCCGTAAAAGATCCTGCGAAATATGTATCTTTTTTATAGTCATGTCATTTGACAGTTGCCAAATTTGCTTCTAGTCGTGTCAACAGTGAAGCTAAATGAATGCATTCTTTTGGAATTTCTCTTTGCGACTGCTTACACCAACAGAACGATGTGACGAGTACCCATTTGGAACAACCACCAAGGGATATCACTTTGCCGCCGCCAAGGGCAGACGACAGTTGGAAAGCCGCAAAACATGCGGCACATCGTCCTGAATTGCGCCAACATTGGATGCTACGAAAGAAATTGGGCCTCTGCAGGCAGGGTTGCTCCAACATAGTATGGGTTATATATATATATAATAATAAATGATTGCCAGCATTTGCCAGCAAAAATCATATATCTTTATCCACTCTTTTTTCCCCTGGCATATTTGCGGCGTTGGAAGTAACCCTCTCAGGTGCAAGATTTTCATGAGACGGTGTCGAGCGTGCCTTCAAGTTCTACGATGACGAGGGCTACACCGTGCATGCCATCATCGGTCAGAGACTTCTTCACAGAGCCGGAAGTAAGACCCTTTCGGCCAAGTCTGTGGACAGCAATTTAAGGTGTTTGCATGTAGCCCTGCATGAGTTTGTATGTCTTTGTTGCAAAAAGTATTTATCAGCCATGCAACTTCAGTCATGCCGTTTTATTCTGGCACCACTCCGTGGATGAATTCCAAGATGAGTGGAGTGTGTGCAACGCCCTTAGGTTAAGTCAAGCTTTAGTTGTGATACCTTCGAGGGACGAGATGCGCGACAACGATGATTTCTCGACCATCTTGGAAGCGTACAAATACAAGTGCCAATTTGAGCCTCGGTGTGCATTCACCGTCGCTTTTATGAGCATGCTGTCATGCTGCATTCTGAAGTGCAATGATTTGGAAGTTCTGGGAGGCTTGATGTCAAGTGGAAAAATAATAGTGTTTCAATTGACCGGTTTAGTCTTCAGCATGAAGCCGACAAGGGATCAGAGACTTGTGGATTTTTCGCCCTATCTACGGCTTCCCGACACTTCACAGACAGATACCAGAAGCATGCTGTCTCCTAGGTCGATAACGACAACTATCGTGACTGGGGTGTGCGAATCAAAGATCCAGAAGTGGCGAAATGGTATGGGTAACCCTGTCTGCAAGAGCTGAATTGTCATTATTCTGTTAGAACTGTTCAAGAGTTTGCACAGTTCTATTGAATCAAGCCACCCAGTTGAAGCGCTCAACCGTGCATATCCACTTTTTCCTTCGCTGTTGTGGTTGTCGCCAGCTACATCCCAGTGTGTGCGGTTGATATCGAATTGCATGGATTGAGATGTCGATGATTGAGGCAGAACAAGACCAATCTGCACGTTGCATACTATTTTGATCGTTTTGGAAACTTCACCCCTCTCAAGGGTGCAACTCCAAAGCAGACAGAGGCCTGCGGCTAGAAAGCAGTTCTCCATAGGCTCACCTGTGGCTCCCCCGCTCCTACATTTATAGAACATTTAAGATCGATTAAGGGTTTGATACAACAGAAGAGTGAATGTTAGGACACTTGCACGGTGCGGGCAATGTGCTGCAGGCGGGAGCCAAAGCTGCTTCCAGTGCATCTTATCCATCGGTTGGAGGTGAGAAGCGGCCGCCCATGCCAGAGGCACAACCCTTCACAAATTCATAGTTCTTTTATCTTATTTCAGTGGGCTTTCCTATTTGAGCATTGATTTGCATCACCCAAACTACTTCGCTTCATCAACACGCTTGTCATAGGCTGGTTTGGGACCTCTACAGAAGCGACCGCGGCCGAATGCTGGAGATTTGAAGGTGCCTTCCTTGCAGATTGAAGTAAGAATAGGCAATAAGGCAAGGCACTGAAGATTCTTGCGGTGAAGGCTTGGCTGATGGATGTTGCACTGAAACTGCAGCAGCCTGGCAATGGGACAAATCTCTGATCTAAGAGCTCCAAGGCTCAGGTTCCTGTTGCAAAACAGCAACCGATTCAGCTGGGACGTGAAATCTATGATGATGCTGACACTGAGTCTTTGCGATGGAGAGCAGTGAAGTGGCTTGGTGGCACTATGCGCTGATGAAGGCGAAGACGCAGAATTTCAGTGTAGTTTGCTCATGATAATCCAATACTGGTTAATGATTTTTTCCCGAATGCGTAGCAAGGGCTCCCGTTTCACTCTGGGGGTCTGGAACTTGAGGGTGTGTTCGCTAGACGTCGTGCAACCGTTCGCAACCGTCCGCAACCGTTCGCAAATGTTCGCGTGAGGTTGCTATGGCCGTGCCTATGGCGAATTTTGCAAAAGTGGTCGTAACTTTTGGAGGTTTCAAACGTTGCGTAGCCTCGTTTCGCGTGGCGTGGCACTTTGTGACATTCCAACATGTTTCATAACGTGTCCAAAGTCGTTTTGTGTGGCAGGCGCAATACTTTGCGTCGTTGTCAGAAGATGAGTTGCATTTTTCGTGGCAGGCGCAGCACTTCGGAGACCTCCAGCGTCACTTGGCGTGGCAGGCGCAGCACTTCAGACGTGTCGTGTTGCGTGCTTTTTTGCGAATCGCACTGTCAGGGCTGCTTCAAGTGGTGACAACGTGCAAATTCCGTGGCCGGCGTGGCATTTTGTGAGATGTGACGAAAACTGATGGAAGCCTCGCACGAAACATCGATTTTGAGATAGCAAAATTTCAGGTTCCTGAGAAGACTCGTAGGAAAACGTCGATTTTGATGCTACAAAGTGTCAAAATTGGAGGAAGTCTCGCATGAAATGCTTGTTTTGGTGCTCCCACGTGTCTTGTCTCGATGCTTTGGTTTTCTTGTGGCGTCGCCGTGACTATGGGGGAAGCTGCAAAACCTCTCCTTTTCGAAGGTTTCCAAACAGGTTATGGCAGGTGTGTCACGTTGTGACATTCTCACGTGTCTGCAAATGGTGTCGAAAGTCGTCTTGCGTAGAACGTGTCCATGTTCATTTTGCGTGACAAGTGCAGCACTTTAGGCGTGTCGTGTTGCGTGTTTTTTGCGAGTCGCATTGTCAGGGCTGCATTAAGTGGTGACAACGTGCAAATCGCGTGGCAGGCATGGGAAATCGCGAGAGTGTCATTTTGCGTGGCAGGCGCGGTCTTTGATGCAGATCCGTTGTGCGTGGCATCTCAGTTTGCCTGGCAAATGCAGTCTTTAGGGCACTTTACACTTTACACTCCACACTGTGCACTCTACACTTGACACTCCACACTTTACACTTTACACTCTAAACTTTACACTCCACACTATACATTTTACTCTCCACACTTTACACTTTAGACTTTACACTCCACACTTTGCACTTTACACTTCACACACACCACACTTTACACTTTACACTCCATACTTTGCACTCCACACTTTACACTTTAAACTTTACACTCCACACTCCGCACTTTGCACTCCACACTTTACACTCCCTACTGTGCACTCCACACCTTACAGTCTACACTTTACACTCCATACTCCACACTCTACACTCCACACTTTACACTTTAAACTTTACACTCTACACTCTACACATTACAGTCCTTACCCTGCACCCCACACTTTACACTATACGCTCTACACTTTACACTTTGCAGTTCACACTTTGCACTCCACACTTTACACTTGACACTCCACACCCTACACTTTACACTCTACACTTTACACTCTAAACTTTACATTCCACACTCTACACTCCACACTCTACACTTTAGATTCACACTCTACGCTTTACACGTACACTCCACACTTTGCACTCCACACTCTACACTTTAAACTCCACACTTTAAACTCTAAACTTTACACTCCCCACTCCATACTTTACACTCCACACTCCAGACTCTACTATTTACACTTTGCACTCCACACTTTACACTTTACACTCCACATTCTACACTCCTCACTCTACACTGTACACTTCACACTACACTCCACACTCTACACTTTACACTCCAGACTTTACACTCTACACTTTACACTCCACACTCTACAGTTTATACTCTACACTTTACACTCCACATTCCACACTTTACACTCCTCACTCCGCACTCTACATTTCAAACTCTACACTTTACACTCCACACTTTACTCTCCACACTTTACTCTCCACACTTTGCTCTTTCCACTGTACACTTTACACCACACTCTACACTTTACACTTCCCACCCCACACTTTACACGTTACACTCCGCACTCCACAATCCGCACTATACACTCTACACACTACATACGCACTACATTTCCCACTTAACACTCCACTTTCTTCACGCTCCACACTGTGCACTCCACCCCCTTCCACATTCCACAGTCTACAGTGCACTGGTACGGCAACAGGGAAAAAACTTACAAGACTGTTCAAACAACTTGTTTCACAAAGGTGTTTTATGTCACTGCATTCGGCTTCGTGGGCTGCATTTTGTGTGTTTTTCCCGAATGCGTAGCAAGGGTTCCCGTTTCACTCTGGGGATCTGGGGGTTGGAGTGTGTTCGCTCGACGTTGCGTCCGCGTCCGCAACCGTCCGCAACCGTCCGCAACCGTTCGCAACCGTCCGCAACCGTTCGTACGAGGTCCGTATGGCCGTGCCTATGGGAAGTTTTGCAGAGGTGGTCATTTTTGGAGGTTTCAGACGTGTCGTTGCTTCGTTTCGCGTGGCAGGCGTGGCACTTCGTGACATTCAGACGTGTTCTGGAACGTGTCGAAAGTCGTTTTGCTTGGCAGGCGCAATACTTTTGCGACGTTTTCAGAAGATGTGTTGCAGTTTTCGTGGCAGGCGCAGCACTTTGGACGTGTCCATCGTCATTTTTCGTGGCAGGCGCAGCACTTTAGACGTGTCGTGTTGCGTGTTTTTTGCAAATCGCATTGGCAGGGCTGCGTCAAGTGGCAACAAGGTGCAAATTCCGTGGCAGGCGTGGCATTTTCTGCGATGCGTTGAAAATTGACGGAAGCCTCGCACGAAACATCGATTTTGAGGTTGCAAATTTTCAGGTTCTAAGGAAAACTCGTAGGAAAACGTCGATTTTGAAGCTGCAAAGTGTCAAAATTGGAGGAAGTCTCGTACGAAATGCTCGTTTTGGTGCCCCCACGTGTCTCGTCTCGAGTCTCTGGTTTTCCTGTGGCTTCGCGGTGTCTATGGGGGGAGCTGCAAAACTTGTCCTTTTGTTATGTTGCCAACTGTGAAAATTGGAGGAAGTCTCGCACGAAATGATCGTTTTGGTGCTCCCATGCGTCTCGTCTCGAGTCGCTGGTTTTCCTGTGGCGTCGCCGTGTCTATGTGGGAAGCTGCAAAACCTCTCCTATTCGAATGTGTCCAAGCAAGTTGTCATGTCGTTTTGCGTGTCAGGCGTGGCACTTTGTGACATTCCAACCTGTTTGATAATGTGTCAAAAATGTCAAAATTGGAGGACGTCTCGCACGAAATGCTCGTTTTTCTGCACCCACGTGTCTCGTCTCGAGTCTCTGGTTTTCCTGTGGCGTCGCCGTGTCTATGGGGGAAGCTCCGCACTCCACACTCTACACTTTACACTCCACAATTTACACTTTAGACTGCACACTCTACACTTTACACTCCACACTCCACACGCTACACTCTACACTCCACACTCTCCACTTTACACTCTACACTTTACACTCTACACTTCACACTCTACAATTTACAAACTCCACACTCCTCACTCCACACTTTACACTCCTCACTTTACACTCCACACTCCTCACTCCACACTTTACACTCCACACTTTACACTCCACACTCCACACTTTACACTACACTCTACACTTTCCACTCCTCGCTCCTCACTCTACACTTTACACTCCACACTCTACACTTTACACTCCACACTCCACACTTTACACTACACACTCCTTACTTTACACTCCACACTTCACACTCCACACTTTCCACTCCACACTCCACACTTTACACTCCACACGCCACACTTTACACTACTCACTCCACACTTTACACTCGTCGCTTTACACTCTACACTCCACACTCTACACTTTACACTCTACACTTTACACTCTACATCACACTCCTTATTCTACACTTTACACTAAACTCCACGCTTTACATTTCACACTCCACACTCCACACTCTACACACCACACTTTACACTTTCCACTCCAGACTCCACACTCGACACTTTACACTCCACACTCCACACTCCACACTCCACACTTTACACACCACACTTTACACTTTACACTCCACACTCCACACTCCACACTTTACACTCCTCACTCCACACTTTACACTTCACACTCCACACTTTACACTCCTCACTCCACACTTCACACTTTACACTCCTCACTCCACACTCCACACTTTACACTCCACACTCCACACTTTACACTCCACACTCTACACTTTACACTCCACACTCCACACTCTACACTCCTCACTCCACACTTTACACTCCACACTTTACACTCCACACTCTACACTTTACACTCCACACTTTACACTCCACACTCAACACTCTACACTTTACACTCTACACTAAACACTCTACACTCCACACTTTACACTTTACACTCCACGCTTTCCACTTTGCACTCCTCACTCCACACTACACTCCACACTTTACACTCCACACATCTCCACACTCTACACTTTACACTCCACACTCCACACTCTACACTCCACACTTTACACTCCACACTCCACACTCTACACACCACACTCTACACTTTACACTCCACACTCCACACTCTACACACCACACTCTACACTTTCCACTGCACACTCCACACGCTACACTCTGCACTCCACACTCTACACTTTACACTCTACACTTTACACTTTACACTCTACACTTCGCACTCTACAATTACAAACTCCACACTCCTCACTCCACACTTTACACTCCTCACTTTACACTCCACACTCCACACTTTGCACTTTACACTCCTCACTCCACACTCTACACTCCACACTCCACACTCTACACTCCACACTCTACACTTTACACTCCATACTCCACACTCTACACTTTACACTCCGCATTCTACACTTTACACACTCTACACTCCCCACTCTACACTTTACACTCCACACTGCAGACTGGTAACAAGGGAACATGTACAAGACTGTTCAAATAAACTATTGCAGAAAGGTATTGTGCGTGAGTGCATAACCATGTGTATTGACATCTGTACCATTAACATACGTGTGAGCATTCGGGTTCGTGGGCTTCATCTTGTTTTGCTTTCATATGCCATGATGATTCTTATCGATTCTTGTAGTTGTTGGCGTGGGTTGAAACCTCCAATTATAATTTTCACCAGAAGGTTTCGTTGGGACAGGGGTTCGCCCATATATTGTGCTTCAGCGTGCTGCCAGGGCGACACAAGTTTGGCCAAAATGGTTTGATGAAGCTCAAGGCCCTCAAACTTTGAGACCTTTGAGAACTCTGAAAGCAGGACCAATGCTGCAATGCCATATTTGGGTATAAGATGATATGAGATGGTATGAGTCAAAGCCCTGGTGAACATCCCAAAGTTGAACACAATCAGCTAGGCTAGATTGGGATGTTCATTTGCAACCATTGTCTGGATCTATCCATGTAGTATGCATACATATTCATGACATACTAGACTATAATCCTACTGATGTTGTCTTCACTGCAGTTCATCTCCAGTGGAACACGTCAGGGTTCTTGCCGCATGTCATCCATGTCATCCATATTCGCGCCAGGAGAGTGCTTCAAATCCATCATGCAGCGCCCGGAAAAAGGCCAAGCCGAGTGGCTGGCAATGCATCCACGTGGCTGGGTGAAAGTTGCCCCATGGCTGAAACTGGATGAGCGAAACTTCCAATGGGGGTGAAACGGATCAAACCTCACAATTGGTGAGATGTTCATAGATGATTATAGGTGTTTGTGCTTCTGTCGGAGATCATAGCTGGAATCAAACCATAAACAAAACAGTCGTTGGTGGACTGCGGAACTTGTTGAAGAGCGGACAGCTACACCTTTTCTTAAAGATGCGTCTCAGAAGATGAGCACGGCCAGGTCTGCGGCATGGAGGGCACAGCGAACGTGGTCCGACTTTGATGACGAAGGCGGTCTACTGGATGCATGTTGCCCGGCGCTGCCGAGCCCGTGAACATGATCTTTCGAGCTCCAGACATGTGGCAGATTTCCCTGTTGCAGAGGTTGAGGCAAGGGAAAAAGATCCAGCAACTGACAGCTAGAAGACTTCGGGCTCCATGGCCTTTGCCCTTGCCTCGAGCTAGCTTCCCACCTTCTCAATGATAAACCTGGGCCTTGGCATGGCGCATAGATGGAGACGGAAGACTCAAAGCAAAGGCTGGACTTGTCAAAAACGGTCAAAGCTCGATCTTTTGATGATATGGTTGTTTGTTTGATTGTTTGTTTGTGCTATCTTCTTGTTCAGGCCTCTTTGCGGCAAACAGTCTTCATAGCTGAAGATGGTGTCCGCCGCTTGCAGTCACAAGGAAGCCAAATTAGATCCAAGCAATGGAAACTGCAAGGACCCAAATTGCATGTGTCAACAGGACGCGTGAGCAGATTTGTAGGTCTTGGGGACCCAATTGTATAGCGTGACATGACGCCATCCTCGCATTGTGCTGTTTCACCTCATAGATTCCATAGATTGTCCATAGTACAAGGTTTTGCAGACCAAAGAAGAGTGCAAGACCGGGTGCTGTGTCACTGGTTAATGTTTACAAACATCCCTGGGATGACTGGCCAAAAATTGACAGACATTGACCATGTTTTTTGGATTCAACCATGAGCCTGTTCTGATCAGTTTTGCTTTCTCAGAACTTGAGAAAGTTCGGAGGTTTCTCGCGCAGCCGCTATCCTTGGATGAGGAAGCTGGCACTGGAGGCTTGTGTGATTTGTGTGTCATTTGGAGATGGGTATGGCGAATGGGCTGGTCTTAATGGACCAGAATGAACCTACAAAACCAGCTGGCAATTATTGGTGCGCGCAGTGGTAGCTTTGACCTTGCACCGTTGAGTTTTTACGTCACTGTGCATGTGTTCCTGTACCCAAGCAGACCGACGTGGTGTCGTCTGTCACCTCGTTGGCCGGGGGTGCGGGCTGACGCGGTTGTGTGTGCTTGAGGCCAACGCCCGGTTTCCAACCGAATATGACAGCAAGGGCTATGGGCTAATGCGCCTTGCTGGGCACACACTGAGGCACTGGCCGGTCAGTTCACGTCCTTGCGACCGTCGAACGCCCCGCCCTGCTCTCCACCGCGTCGCTTGGGAGGCCGGCTTTCTCGCGCACAACTTTTGTACACGCAACTCTTGCACACACACACAACTCTTTTACACGCAACTTTCTCACACACAACTCGTTCAGACTCATACATCACTATTTTGCAACTTCCTCACGCACACAACTCTTGCACACACGACTGTTTCACCCTCGTACATCACACCGTTCAAACACACACACACACAACTCTTCCACATACGACTTTGTGACAGGCAATCTTTCACACACACAACTTGGTCACACACAATCTTTCACACACATAATTTTGTCCCACACAGCTTTCACACACAACTTTATCACACACAACTCCTCTTTTTTAACTTATCGATCCTCCACCACCTCCTTTGTCTTTCCTTCCTTCCCGTCCCGCTTCAACTTTTGTTTCTGCTTATTGGAAGAAGTTGACTTGAGGTTACCCGGTCCTTTAACTGACTCACTGGTCACTGGATCGTTCAATGATTGATTCATTGATTTACTGGCTAGATGCTTCACTGACTCATTGAGTCGTTGAACCATGATGCAATGGTTCACTGACTCACTCATTCATCGATTCATTTAATCTTTGAACCGCTGATTCATTGACTCATCGACTCCTTGATTCAGTGATTCACTGCTTCATTGATTCACTGATTCATTGCTTCGTTGGTTCACTGACTCACTGGACCGTTCAGTCATTGATTCATTGATTCACTTGCTCGATGCTTCACTGAGTCATTGAGTCGTTGAACCATTGATGGTTCATTGATTTGTTGCTTCATTGTTTCATTGATTCATTGAGTTCACTCACTGGTTCATTGATTCATTGGTTCATCGGTTCATTGCTTCATCGCGTCATTCATTCAGTTGTGCCGTGATTCTTTCAAATCTTTTCATTGACATCTCAACCACCATTTGCTCAGTCGTTGATGCACCTCGCAGCTTCAACACTTCATTGCTTCTGCATCGCAAAAGCTTTCCTATAGGCCACTGATTTCCTAGAGTCATGTCCTATTTTCGAAACTTCCGCCCCGGCGTGTGCCAGGCACTACCTGGTACAATTTTACACATGATTTGCGTCTGCTTTCAGCAGGTGGTTGAAATCGCCATGAACGGTGTCTCCTCTCACAAAAGACTTAATCAGCGCTGGGTTCATACCAGGCTTCACTGCATTTGCCTGGCCCCCAAGCCGTTCTTGTCCTCGCGGATCGCAGTCAGAGTCTGGAAACTAGAAAGGGTAGTGGCGGCTGGGTGTCAGAAAACGATCCACATCACATTCGAAGAACTTCTGACATCAAACGAACGGATGGCAGCATCATTGCTCCAAAGCTGACTGACATAGGAATGTCCGCCCTTGCGTTGCAAAACCCATGTTCTCTTTATTTCTCACACCTACATTATCAAAGGCCGTGTTTTCATGGCCTGCGTTCGGACTGAAAATCAAACTCAAGGAAGTTTTTCCTTTCTTGGTCCACATGAGATTTCCGTTCTCATTGGGCTTACACCAGGACATCTGCCATTATCATTCAACAAATGATGGAATATCTTCCTGGTCTTCTTACTCGGGCTGAACATCTTGCTGGTCCATATGTTTTTCCGGCTGAATATCCTCCTGGTCCATAATCTGTGCCTGTTCCTCGGGAAACTGGTCGTCCTCGACATGGTCTTCTGATGGCAAGCGTTCCTCGTTGGGCGTCTCACCTCCATCTGTCCTCGAGTAGTGACCCCAAGATCATATCAAGCTGATTTTGCATGCGCTTGTAAGCCCCCAATGTAACCAATTACATCCCATGGTTATTGTTGCGAACCTACCTTCCTTGTTCAAAATGTTTTTCCAATGCCATCAAGAGTGCTGCCTGTGGGCTGCATCTTGTTATCATTCGCGGTTCTGTTTCACATCAATCTGCTTCGTTGCGACTCCTTCTCTCTTGCGCGAAGGAACTTTTCGTTTCAATTTTCTCGTTTATAGCTGCGAATCTATGAGTGGCAGGATTGTAGAAGAGCTTATGCCACTCAACGCCACTCATTGCCACTCAGCAATGTTTTAGTGGTGCGAATCTAGCAGGGCATAGGCCATTCAATGCCACCCAATGCCACTCAATGCCACTCAATGCCACTCAATGCCACCCAGGAATGTTTATGCCACTCATTGCCACTCAGCAATGTTTTAGTGGTGCAAATCTAGCAGGGCATAGGCCACTGAGTGCCAATGCCACTCAATGCCACCCAATGCCACTCAATGCCACTCAATATGCCACTCAATATGCCACTCAATATGCCACTCAATGCCACTCGTTGGGTGGCATACCCTCCTAGATTCGCGCCACTCAAACATTCCTGGGTGGCATTGAGTGGCATGGCGCGAGCCAACTAACGGACAGATTGCGTGTTCAAGAAGCTTTTAGACACAGAAGCTTTTACACACAGACGCTTTTACACACACAGACGCTTTTGCACACAGACACTTTTACACACACAGACGCTTTTACACACAGAACCTTTTACACACAGAGGAGCTTTTACACACAGAATCTTTTACACGAAAAACCTTTACACAGAGAATCTTTCACACACAGAAACTTTTTCACACAGAAACTTTTACGCAAAGAAGCTTTTACACACAGAAACTTTTACACACAGAAACTTTTACAGACAGATTTTTTTTCTCAAAACAAACTTTTAGACAGAGAAGCTCTTACACACAGAAGCTTTCACGCACCGAGGCGTTTATACACAGTAGCTTTTACGTATAGAAGCTTTTATGCAGAGAAGTCTTTGCACATCTCTCATCACGTCTCATTGGTCATACTTTTTCATCATCTGTCATCTTCATAACTTCGTTTTCATGCTCTTTTGGTCAACTTCCTCCTGCTCTTCTTTCGGGCCACACTGTCGTTTAGTTTTCATTTCGCACTGTCCGTCCACGCTTCGTCCTTACCCGCCCTGCGGCGAAGCAAATAAAAAACGAGAGCCCAGGCAGAAAATGGCAGAAATAGTGACAAGAAAAATGGGATAGAGTTACATTAGCAGAAGCAGCAACTAGAAGAATGTAGACGTAGCTGACGCAGCATGTTGTGGTGGATTGTGGCCCCTGATACCATCAGTGTGCGCGATGTCTCAATAAAGATCTTGCGTCAATTTCGTGCAGAGCACAGCTGCCCACACCACAAGATTTGGGCCGTCTCGCTGTTGGGTTCTCTGGCCCACCTTGTTTTTTGGAGATAGGCCTAAAGTATCATAGGCTAAGGCTTAGTTGGAGGTTTAAAGACTAGACATTACCTGTAGTTGCTGCACGAAAAGTCCTTCAGAAGTGGTGAGCTGAATCTACTTTTCCCAAGGATTTTCTCATTTCCGTGTCTCAACTGATGAGGCGATGGCCGTCATGGAGCCTCAGGACAGACACATTTGCATGCTGCACTTTTTGTTGACGCTGCAGTGAAAGCTGACCAGAAAGAAGTCCAAATGACTCCAGGTCAGGAATTGGGGTACAATTTTTTTTGCAGGTTGGGACGTGGTAGTACCGGCCAAAATCTGTGGGTTTTCGCCCCATCCCTTGTGTTTTTGGTGCAGGATCTTGCCATGCACTCGGACGTGGTGGCTGCCAGGCTCAAGGACACAGACGACGACGTTTGTTACGAGGCTGGAGCAAACACTCGTGACTCATGACCCCAGAGTCAAGAGAACTTGGTTGATGTGGGTTGTAATCCCATTCCTAACATTAAATCCCCCAAAACAGGGACTTTGAAATGAATAGATCCAAGGCTAAACCAGGATTTCGTGTGGGTCAATTGGATCATGGGAAACTTAACGGGAAGCATCCACATTTTTTTGAAAACCATGTTTGCCTGTAGATTTTCCCTCCTTCTCTGGTAGGCCATCCGCACGATGAAGCGCCTGCAGCCGGACATCTTGGAGAAGCATGCGGAAATCCTGAGTCGACTGCTGGGAGATGAGGACCGAACTATCCATGGTTTTTCCACTTAAATGGAGCACAAACAAGCTGCCAAGGGACACACACACACACTTGAAAGACCGTATCTCGTCTATGAGTCTTTTGATTCCCGATAGGGTATCTGAACTGAGTTCAGAAAGGCCGTCTTTGTCCACTTTGGACAAAAGTCGCAGAAATTGGTAAAAACTGAAAAAACTGAAAAATGCGTAACGGACTCCGATTTCTCGAATTATTCATGCATATGACAAAAGACTAACCGAAAATGCATCAACAAGCTTGAATAATGAGAAAGCATCATGACCAACTGCAGGTACGTCAGGGTGATCAGCCCTGATATCCCATCCAAGACCGTAGCTTCGTTGCACACGGTGGGTCAAGGATGCCGTGTGCCCCTGCTTGTAAATTAGGAGCTGACACTAAAAATTGGACATATCATGATAAAAGCCCTTCGGAACAGGGGTTGCCCCCACACACAAAGGCCGTATGTCGCGAAACTATTGTTGCTTTTATCAGCGGTGATCTTGAAAAACTAGTCCCGCGAACCCCACCCCTTGTGGGAAATTAGAGAATAAATATGAAAAGGAAGCCCTTTGGAACAGGGGTTGTCCCCACACACAAAGGCCGTATGTCGCGAAAACCTGGCACTGAATGTTCCCAGCAACAGTGATTCGTGGAAAAACTGGGCCCGTGAGCGCCAAGGTGAGTCCATGGCGAGAGTTTCCGAAGCGAGTCAGAATGGTAGTACAAAATTGAGCCAACATAGAAGCAACAAAAATGTATCACAAGAAGCTCATTCATGAAGATGTCATGGCAAAACGGGCGCAGCAATATTTACTTGCGCTGGTTGAGTGCTTGATCAACGTCAGGTTGGGAAAAACCTTTCTGTACATATAAGGCGCCCAGCTGCGTCAAGCTACCGGAGATCAAACTGGTCGGATACGTGTATTGTCGAATTAAATGAGCCCGGCTTTTCAATCCACTCATTCTGAGTCGGAGTGATCCCGCAGAGACGCAATCTCTGATCTGACGAATGTCAGGTTGACGATATTCAACAGTGCGTCTGTCAACATCAACGGAAAACCCAAGAAGCATATTGTCATCAACAGTTTCTAGTTCGACTGGATGCCCGTAAAAGTCCAAATCGCAAAAAGTCATGAGGGCATCACAGGACTTAAAATGGGAAGAGAACATTAAAAAACGATTGTCCACGTAGCGAATTGAACATAGATGCAAGCTCGGTTGTTCCAGTACTTGGGCAAAAGTGTTTTGCCAACTTCGCTCAATAATAGTAACTGCTAGATTTGATAACGACGGTGATATCTGGCTGCCGATCCCGGCTCCACGAATTTGACGCCAAATGCATCCTAAGGCTGAGAAAATATGAGAACTCAGGCTGGACTGAACGATTTCTACAATATCTGTGACGTGCAGTTTCCGAATCTGAAACGCCGTGCGGCGAAAAGAACCTGAAAACGTGGAATGTACTGGATCTCCATGAGCCGAGGTATCCACAGAAATAGTGATTGAATCCCGACCATCAGGAAAATGATCTAAATGGTTGTCAATCCAATGTTCCACCAATTGGTGTACCGCATCCAAAAGTCTAGTTTGTGGCACAGAGTTAAAAAAGCCAACTAAGTCATCATTGACAAATTGAAGTCGCGTCGCTTCATCAGTAACATTAAAATAGGTGTGAACTTTGCTCCAAATTTGTGGTGTGCTCAATTGTCCAAGATCTTGTGGCCATACTTGGCGACACATTGAGTCCAATGCTCTGCTTGTCGCTTTGAGCAACTTGGCTTGATAGCTTTTGTAATAGCTGATCAACGTGCGGCCTTTGGCCCACTGTTTTTTGCGTTTCAGAAAAACAAATCCATACGGGAGGAGAGCTCCTTTCCGAAAACCCCAGGGATATCTGCGAATCAGTCGGTTGGAAAAAGCTCGATGAATTAATTTCTGAGCTTCCTCGATGCTGATGGGAAGCTTTTCAAACAGTTCTCGATCTAGCCAAGTTTGCAAAGCCCCGTGAAAATACAATCTGGGGCAGAAAACAGTAATACGAAATGTTCATGATCACCATGATGAAGTACACAGTTATACGGCAGCCATCTCAGTAGGCTCTGTACATCTCGAAAAGTCAGTCGTGGATGATGCTCCAAAGATTGAAGATGAAGCTTCCATTGATCATGCATGAACTGTCGGAAAGGAGTCGAAAGACCTGGAGGTAGGCCGTGATGTCTGAGCCACAGTTGAAACTTAGGTAGAACTTGCTCCAGGAAAGATGTCTTTGATAAATAATATGTCGAATTGGCATTCACGTCGGAAAATACCGCCAGAAACTTGGGTAGTTTCAAATCCTCCAAATTAACAGCAAGATGTTGTTGAGGATCCACGTCATACGTACAATGGAATCGTAAAAAAGAACAGCAACATGGCAATTCGTCCGGGTCGGTGGCATCCCACCATGTTTCAGCTTTTCGATGATTGTGCAAAAATCCCCGAACTTTGGGATACGCTGCCTCACGCAAATGTCGAGTGGGCAGGTGAAACGGTAACGCCATGTCTTTTGAATTCACAATGATATTGCGTAGCCAACGTTGAACATTGATTTGAAAATCATCATGAGACAAAAACGGAATGCTCAAGGGCATGTTGGTTCTGGGAACTGTAGCGTTTCTAAACTGTAACGCTTTTGAAAGGAGTCCCCGAACGCGGGATCGGCCGGGCTCTTCCATGTGCAAGGATAATCTGTACAATGCATACACTTCAAGAGTATGAAACTCACCGGATCGAATTCGTTGACATGTCTCATAACTGCTTCGAGTATGAAGACTCAAAAGATACAGAATATGCCAGGCTTTTTCTTGGCGAGAGTGAGCACTTGGAACACTGCCAATAGTCCGAAGACGTCTGCGTAGCCTTTGGTACAATCGAGGCCCCAATTTGATTGGGGGGGAGCGGTTGGCTTTAAACTGAAGGGTCCAACCCTCGGATTTTAACCTCAAAACTTTGGAAATAAATGGATGATTGAGCATGGGTTGCCAGTGGCTGATCAAACAATGTTCACGAACCCACGCTTGTTCATAGGTACTGTGAGTTTCCAAAACGATCAAATTATACAAAGAAGAGTTCTTGTGGGACAGCCAGTACCTGATAGAGAGTTCAACATTAACTGCTTGGCCTAGACCGAGTTGTTTCAACTTGGCTGACCGGTTGAAGTCTCTTTTGCATGCCGATATGGATGTGGATCCAACGTAAAAATGGCCATGCTGGTAATATACCTGATTATCCGATTGAAGCGGATGAAATGGCAGTTTGACGTAAACTGCACATTGGACTTGAAAAAACGGATAGGTGTACATCTCAGGGCACAGTCCCAACAGATTCAACCGATTGCGCCACTCACGAGATTCCAATGTGGGCGCGGAAAACTTTGACAAAACTAGGACATGAATCAAGCTAAGGGCCCACATTGCCAAGGATTTAGGTATGTTCGGAATGCAATGAATGCAAAACGAAAACGCCTGCTGGAGATTCGCCAAAATCTTTAAAAGTTTCAAGCGGGGAATCTCCTTTGAACAATACCCTAGTCAAGCACACAAGGCTGCACCGATACCAATGATCTGGTGCATGCTGCGGGGTGCCAACTTAAAAGTAAGTTCAATACCGAGTCCGTATTTTACGCAAGCTTCTTGAAGCTTGGACTTGGGAATATCGGCATCACGGACTGACTGAGTAAATTTGATGGCAGCCTCCCGAGTTTCTCTGGGAAAGCTTTCTACCCACTTTTTTATGGTGGGATCAGAATGGCCACTGGGAACATGGTCCTGAAGTGCTGGGGACTGAGGACGTAAGCACTCCTCAGCTTGGATGACTCCGTCATCTGGGTTCTTCTCAGGACACTCTACGGAAAACTCCTCAATGTGATCGTCACCGAATTCTACTGTGGTTCCGGCTCCAGTTGGATTCTCCGGTCTGGAGCTCTTCGAATCATGCTTGGGTTTCCACAAGCTCTGGAGGGTCTTAACGGCTTGATCTGGCAGGGTAGACTTCGACGACCGAGCTCGTTTCTTGGGAGTTGCGCCAAGTCTTTCTGATGGCTCTCTTTTCTTGGATGCAGCTGGTGATAAATTCTGTTGAGAAGTTGGTGACATCGTATGGCCTTGGGAGCTCATCTCAGCGAGCTTCCTCTGGGCTTCTCGGAGCTCCTGCTCTACATGCTGCAAACGTCGAACCGCTGTGCCTTCTGTCTTGTTTGGTCGAAAAGACTTCATACGGGAAACAAAATCAGCAACAACAGGGCCCAAAAACTCAACCGGCGAATCTTGTTTGGATGGCACTGGTTGTGTCGGGGATTGAGTTTGGTGAAGATGCTCCGCAACTTCATCGATATCAATGTTGCTGTCCCGCATGCTCTTTAGCATTTGAGCACAGAAAACGGATTCGGCAACTGTACGGGTGGTCACTACTCCGATGAATCGTCCAGCGCTAAAAGGTCGAAGGCTGAATTCTTGAGTGCCATAACGACACAAGGCTGCCAACGGAACTTGGAGCGGATCCATGCCGTGGAGACCTCTTTTTCGGCTCCAGGCTGTCGGTTGAATTTGTCGGTACATGGGATATCCATGCATCACATTCTCATCGTAGTGAGTAGAAGAAGGGGACCAATGTGATGGGATAGCTGGCTTCCAAGACCAGTCCTGATGGGTCGGCCATGCGGAATCTTCCCAAGTGTTGTCCCAGGTGTTCCATGCCTGAGAGCTCCAACGTTGAGACATGGCTAACAAGGTGGAACTTATGTTGTCTGAGACGTGTCGGCAAACTGAGCTGAAACTCACAGAAAAATGCTCAGCGATTGAGAATCACAGAAAAATATTCTCAGTTGTGAAAATTCACCGAGAAAAATATTCTCAGTGTTTGAAATCATTGACATGTAAAAAATGAGTAAAACCATTAAAAATATGGTCGATCAACAGTCGCAATGTGAAAAGAAACATCTCAG